ACCCGCTTCGGACTCCCAAAGTGCTGGGATCATGGGCGTAAGCCACCACACCCAGTCTATACTTTTTAAATTTTTAAAATTAAAATATTTTAATTTAATGATTTTTATTTTGTAATAAGATTTTGTATTTCATAATATATATCACTGTTATAAATATTCTTTATTCAGTTAAATATTGTCCAGTAAGACATAAATACAAAACTAATAAAATTGATTTTCTTCTTTTTAAACTTTATATTATCTTATTATTTTTCAATTTCAGAAGACAGAGAATGGATTCCAGACCATAGCTTAAGTGAACATGCTGATAATGCAATTGTCTTGGGTGTTCTGCAGGGTGCTCAGAGTCCATCATCAAGTAGAAAACAGCAAAAGATGGGTAACATTGACTCAAAGGCAGCGGTGCCATGTTGGCAGCTTGCTTTCTTTAGTAGTTAGCTTTATTAGCAGTTTAGTAGGCACCTGAAATTTAGTTTTTGAAGTTCTGTAATTTAAAATCATTCATTTTAACTAAATGTCCTCGACTTTTCTTCCAAAACCAAAGCACAAAAATAAGTGTACTCATTTTTCCAAAGGCATGAATTATCATCTTAGTTATTTTCTATAGCAATGTATTAGGAAATAACATTTGCAAAGTGTAGTTAAGAGTATGGCATATTTTGAACAATCCTTATGAAATACGTACTCAGTTTCATTACTCACTCAGGAAGCAGTATGTTTATACCAGATTTTGCCTACTCTTTACCTATATTATGATCAGACAGAACCATATGTGAAATGATTGACTTAGCTTAAGATGCTTATTGCTGGGATTGAGAAAACTTAGTTCTAAATATAATTCTGTATGTACTGACCCTGGAATCTTCATTTCAGTTCATTAACTCTATTCTCTAAACAAAGTAATTATAAGATTTTCCATAGAATAATTCTTTTGACATACTGAATGTCTATTTTAATACGTTCCTGATAAGTTTATACAGAGTATATGACATCATTAAAATCACTAGTATTATTAGAACATTACTGTTATCCCATTATACCAGCTATAATGGGTTTGCTTTATGCCAAAGTAGGAAGTTGTAGTATATAACTAATGAATTCAGGTAATTCGGTATATATATTGAGGATATTAGCACTTGGCTTGGCCCTGAGGATAAAAGAGATACATAAGTAATATTCCCTGATCTTATTAAGCTCACAGTTTAGGAGGAATACTTGAGAAAGTGGGCTATTTGTGTTGGTTTAAAGGCTATCTTCAAGGCAGAAATTTAATTGCATATGATTCGTCTCTCCATATAAGATTTATTATGTCTCTCTTGCCCTAAAATCTATGATTAAACCTCTCTGGCTAGCTTAGATCCTTTCCATATGCATTTATGTTGAGAATCTGTCAGATATAAAACTTTTTAGGGAGAAAACAATGTATTTATGGGTTTTTTTTTGGCTCTATAATTAGATGCCTATTTTTACATCAAAGTCTATGTCAACTTCAAAAATTCGGGTTGCTTCCCTCTGAGGCAATCAGAACAAACTGTTATAAGTCACTGTATATTGATGAAAACAAATTCATATACATGCTATGAGAAATTTATTACAAAGACAAATCTACAAATCAGTAGTCAAATGCTTTTAAGTATCAGTTTGGACAGATCAGTCAAAATCAATAATTTGCTATAAAAAACATTTGTTGGCTGGGCATGGTGGCTCACACCTGTAATCCCTGCACTTTGAGAGGCTGAAGCAGGTGGATTATGAGGTCAGGAGATCGAGACCATCCTGGCTAACACAGTGAAACCCCATTTCTACTAAAAAATACAAAAAATTAGCTGGACGTAATGGCGGGTGCCTGTGGTCCCAGCTACTCGGGAGGCTGAGGCGGG